TCCAAGAAGCTCTTGGCTGAAGAGACTGTGCTGCTTGGGGCGGGCGTGGTGGGAGGGGTTGGGCAGCCCAAAAAGGGAAAAGATGAGCATTAGAAGCGAAGGCAGCGGTTACGGGGGTCTCCTTTCTTTGTGGTGAACGTAGGGCTGCCTGGACCCCGTTTCCAGGAGCCACGCCCCCCATAGGAGCTGGGCCCACGGCACCTGCCGGGGTGGTCCCGCGTCAGCCGGGCGGCGGGACGCACACACTGAACCGCTATTTCCTAACTCCCGGGAACAGGTGTCAAAACGAACCACTTTCCAAGGTGACTTAACTTTTCTCCTCAGAATCCAATAGGGTCGTTGCTGCTTTGGGGTAATTGCTTTGATTTGCCAAGAATAAATGTGAGAAGCCTTTGTGCTGGGCTTGGAAGGTGTAGATCCCGGAGGAAGACGCTTCACCAACACGATGCTCGCCCCGTGGCTGCATCAGGGCTGGCGGCTCTGGCGGGACGTTAGGCAGGAGATCCCCACGGCGACCCCAGGCGCCCGCGGCTCGGCTCCTCAGGCCTGTGGGCTGGTGCAGATCTGAGGTGGGCCGGGCGGAGGGCTGGCGTGAGAGGGATCCTCGGCCACCCCGGTCCAGGGCGCGGAAGGCTCTGGCACCCCCCTCACCCCTGCAGGGGACCTCCGGGCCCCCTATTCTCAGGCTCCCCTCACCCCTGCGGAGAACTGGCTGGGGCCCAGGAGAGCCGGGCCGTCTGGGGAATACCTGTCCCCACCCCCCCCGCTTTATGGGGTGGACACAGAATAAATGTATTATACACCGAAGGTGCACAACATGACAATTGTGACGTCTGGCCCACGAGGAAAGCACGTCACCGCTGCCCCCGAGCCCCCCCCCACCGGGCCCAGCCCCTGCATGAGTGATCTGGAGACCCAGGTGTGCCGCTGCCTTCCCCTCTGCAAACAAGGGGGACTCACCCGCCCACCCGCTCCAGAGAGCTGCTCAGTCTGGCCCTGACCCGGTGTAGACACTCGCCCCGTGATGGGGGCTCCACCGAGGTGTTGATGGGACGCCCCCTCCCCCCACCTCTGCCCCATCATCTGCTGGTTGCTCTCGTTTGCTTTGTATTTTTCTTGTGGTAAAACACACATAACAGAAATTACCATTTCAACCACTTCTAAGTGAGCAGCTCAGGGGCACTGAGCACATTCATGCTGCTGTGCAGCCGCCCCACCGTCTGGCTCCAGAACGTTCCATCTCCCCACACTGAGACTCTGTCCCCGTTACACACAGAACCCTACCC